TCTCCTGCATCTTAACCTGCTGAGCCATCAGGGAAGGCCTTCTAGGAATTAGGATAATAATATATTTGGAGGCCAAAATTCAGCCTAGCACTTGTGTACACACACACCCCAGCTGTATGTTATCCACTTTGCCCACGACTTCCTCTTCCCTATGCTTATGGAAAGGCAAGTTCAACATCTACCATGAATGACCCTTCCTCCCTCGAGTTTTCCAAGAACATACTCTCTCCACAAAAGCAGACTTCAGACTGCCTTCAGAACTCCCCCAGGAATTCTGGTTTCATCAGACCCCCAGCGCTTCGCACGTTCCCCTATGCATTTGTTAATTTTTCATTTTTAAAAATAGAACTTGAATGTCATGCAATACACAGTCACTGAGAAAAATCAGAAGAACACAAGAGCAAAAAGAAGTTAAAAATTCACATATGATCCCAGTAACCAGAGGAAACCACTGTTAACATTTTTGCTTATCTCCTTTCACTTTCAGTGCTAATCTGTACATTTAAAAACAAAAAACACTGTTCTGAACATCTTTTGGACTCTGGAGCCAGATCTCCTGGTTGAAATTTCAGCCAGTTACTTGCCATCTGTGTGACCTTAAGCAAGTTACTTAACTTCTCTGGGCTTTGGTTTCCTCATCTGTCTAAAAGGAGGAAATAATAGCACATATTTCATAGGGTGGTTATGATGATGAGTTAACTTATAGAAAGTGCTTTGGACTGTGCCTGGCACACGACAAATGCCATAGAAGTGTGAGCTGTCATCACGTTATTATATGTCTATCAGGAGACATCTGTTCAGGTGGGTAAGTGACTTTCGGCAGCCCAGTTTGCAGCTGCCTGAGGTTCCCTGGTATGAATGTACTCCAGTTTATTTAACCTCCCCTACTGTTAGGCATTTATGTTGTTTCCAGCTGGTTTTTTTTTTCCTTTCTATAAACAACTACGGGATAACATCCTTGAACAAACACCTCTGAACACATCTTTATTTGTTCCTAAAAACTCAACTGCTGAGTCACAGACCACACATATTTTTGAGCTTTCGATACATTATTGCCATCCTGCCCTTCATAAAGTTGCACCAGTGGAACAGCTTGCCCATCTCCACACACCCCACGTAAGGATCTGCTCCCCTCCCCACCTCGTCCAGCAGCCCACGTGTCCCTTCACACCTGACTCCAGCACCTGGGTAAAGCAGTGAAGTTTACTAAAATGGACGGGCTGGCAATGAGGATTCAGGGTCCTGGGGGTTGGGGGAGTGGTAAATCTATGCCTCAGTTTCCCCCACATATATTTGCCCATATACCTGCCCACAATAACACTATTTAAATACACATTCCATGCGTTAAAATGATACCAAAATTCCAGACTGAACTGGCAAAAGTTCGGCTTTCTAATCACACATCAAGCATATTTTGAAAGTTTCCAGCGTCTAATACTGAGGCTCCCAAGGGACCATTTTTCAGAGCCTTAAATCTGCCATTTTAGAGCTCTGACTCCGAACCCTCCTAGAGACAGACTGCTGGAGAACAAATGCACAAAAACCATCACCTTCCTGCTTGCAAATAGACAAATGTCCCACTTTTCTCATCTCACTAAGGAATAAAAAAAGGCACGGAGAGTCTGTCCTCTGAAGCCCGCAGAGAGCTTGTGCGTGGGCAGGACGGAGTCCTGGGTCCTTCTTACCGCACTAAGGAGGGAGGGCCTTTGCTCCCATTTTATTGATAAAGAGACAGAGGATCAGAGAAATTAAGAATATGCTCAGGAGCCGAGAGCAGAGAGGAGACTGAAATTCACACCCTCTGGTTCTCGAATCCCTGCTCTCCCGGTGCGGGAGGGCCCTGGAAGGGCGTCTGGAAACTAAGTGCTGGCCGCCTAAGCACTGCTCGCCGGTGAAGGACCACCCCCTCTTCTCGCTGAAACAAAGAGAGGCTCGGGCTGCCCATAACAATTCACGGGCATCCTTCCAGCCCCAGAATGAGGGGGGCCTAGCTTTCCCTACCTTGTGTCAGAGCTGCGGACATCAGACCAGCAGGACTCAACCCTAGAAAATCATGTCTCCCCTTCCCATGTGACGGGGAGCCTAAGGCTGAAGCAGAGTCCCCCAGAGGCACATCTCAGGAGGCCTGGATTGTGTGGAGAGCCCAGAGGAAGAAAGGAGCTGCAAATTCCCCGAAGAAGGAATCCAGTGACTGGAGCACAGAGGGGAGGGGAGGAGACCCCAGCTTAGGGACAACAGCCCCACCTCTGCCATTCGCGGCCCGCCTGCCAGACGCTGCTCTCAACGTTTTGCACACAGTCTCACAACTGTGTGGGCGGTACCACGACAAACCCATTTCACAGATGAGGAAAGTGAAGGGGAGAGCAGCTCTGAGACTGGCCCGGAGGAGCCAGGCAGTTAGAAACGCATAGGATGGCTCAGGCCTCAGGTCTGAAACAAAGCACCACCTCAGCCGTATGACGTGAGGCAGAGACTGGCTTCACTGGTAAAATGATCATGATAATAAAATGGGAGAATGTGACAACTATAAACAGTTAAATAAACATGAGTTGAACAAAGAGGTTCAGTGAAATAATTTCCTAATGCTGATGTGCAGGCAGGGAGTTGGAGACCTCTATGAAATTATCCTGGAGATGCTGCTGAGCCTGGCTCAGTCAACAATTATTGAGCACTTGCTGTATGCCACCACAAGAAACCAGCCACCACCTGTGACCTGCTCATCGGCCAGTGGAGCAGATGAGTCAAAATCTCAGAGATGCCTATAACAGGTATAAAGTGGGTGAAGACAGATCCAGACTTCCTAGTGGCCAATCAGCCAGCGCAGGTGGATTCTCCATCACAGGGACAGCTAAGACCAAGGAACCTGAAGGGAGAGGAAGCCCACGAGGTGCCCACCAGGAGCCAGGCCCCAGCCAGGCATGTCACCTGTGCTATTTCAGCAAGCTTCACCCCAGCTTACAGAGGGCGGGGTCAACAGTTTCACCTCTAAGATGAGAAAACCGGAGTCAGAAAGGTCAAGCAACCTATCTGAGATCACGCAGGTGGCCAGCAATGGGGCTGGGATCTGAACCCAGATCGGTGGGACCAGGAAGAGGATGGGAGGGAGTTGGAGCAAGAGGGAAGGCTGGAAAAACCACCGGAGTGGGGGATGCCCTGTCTCCCGGGCCTGGTGAGAAAAAATGGCAATGGGAGCCCAGGACTGAAGACAGTGACCGAGGGAGCCCTGTTCCAGCCTGGCCAGGGGCACAGAGTCTTCAAGAACTGGGCAAATCTGTCTGATGAGGGAGGAGGGGCCCTGACCCATGTAGTCAGAGGATGAGGGTACACTGTATTGGGAGCCCACAGCCTGGACCCCTGCCAGAGCCCCCACGCATGTATCCCAACATTCCTCCTCCAGGCCCTTCTGGGGCTAGAAAAGGAGAAGGATCCAGGAGTTCTGTCCTGCGTGGGGAGCTCTAAAAACCCACCCATGGGGTGGTGAAAACTTTCCCCCCGGGGGATCAACAAGTCGAGCCACCTGTGCAATGCCCTCTGAAGTCAGGAAGACTGGCCTGCCTCAGGTGAGTCCTACAAAGAAAACAGGCAGGGAGCTGGCACGGGGTTGGCTGACTGGGCTCAGATCTTGCTCTTCTGAGCGCTTGGTCAGTGTTCCTAGGGCTCCAGGAGCAGCGCCCATCTCCTCTTCTCTACAAGCCTGGCCTGAGCCAAGGAGCACTCACTGTTACTTGAACCCGTACCCACAACTCCGGGCTTTACCTAACCCCTCCCCGCACTCCATCCCACACACTCCAGCTCTCCAGCCTTTGCTTAGTTCAAGCCTCTCTCATATCCCAAGCCCTCTGCATAGGCTGGTCCCTCCATTCCTCAGCCTGGAGAACTGCCTCCTTCTCCATTAATAGAGAATCTGTCTTTTAGGGTACAGTTCAAATGCTGCCACCTGCTCAAACCTCTCCTCTCCCCTCCTGTCTCCCACCTCGGGCTCCACCCTGCTTCCTGAGTGTGTCCCCACACTGGGCCCCCTTCCCTGTCCTGTTCTCTGTTCTGTTCCCATGCACCAGGTGGCAAGGCCCTCCAGGCGAGGGACTGAACCTCCCAGGTGCCAGAGGACATTTTCTGGAACCCACGTGTCCTTCCAGGACACACCGACTGAGCACCCCTGAGCCCGTAACCTGGGGGCATCTGGACCTCCCTGCTGTTCCCCGTTCCCAGCCCCCATCCTCCAGTCTAGGTCTCTCTGTACCTCTCCCCTGGGGAGACCACGGGAGCCACCAGGAGGGTTAGCCCTTCCGGTCTGGGAGAGTGTCTCCACCCTTCAGACCCCTTGCCCCATCCATCTCCTTCTTCCTCTCCAGGGCAGACCCAGTGTCCTCTTTTGTTTCCAGCCACTGCGCCCGGGATGTGGTTTCCAGCAGAGTGGCTGGCCCAAGGCTGAAGTTTCCTGGTCATCAGGGTCCAATCTGGCTCCCCACTCTCCTGGTCACTGGCCTCTACTTCCAGCGAGTGACTTCTCCCAGGGAGGGCTGCTCAGATTGTCACAGGATGCCGGAAATCCGAGCCCCCTCCCCCGCCAGCCCCGAGGTCTATTGGAGCCCAGGGAGCGCCTTTCTTGGGGGGAACCGAGCGACACTGAGAGAAGGACAGGGGCTCCAAGCTCCCTCTCTTCTTTTGAAGACCTAACTAGAGCTTGACTCCAGCGGGCCGCTCCCCCGACCACGTCCCGGCAGCAAGCGCTCTACCCACCCCGACGCCGGGCCGCGGAGACTCGGAGAGCAAAGCGGGGCAGGGCACCGCCCCAAGTCGTCTCCGGGCCCGGCTCCGCACAGGAACCCGCAGCGCACAAGGTGGGAATTAGCTGGCGTCCGCACCCCCTCCTCCTGCGCCAGCCAGAGACACCCCAAAACCCTGGCCGCCGCCGCCGTGCCCGGCTCCTGCTCCAACTCGGAAAGTAGCGGGCGGCGAGGCCGCGCCAAGGGGCGGCGGCCGGGAAGGGCCGGCGGTACCTGTCAGCAGCTCGATCTTGTGTCCCAGCACCTTCATCTCTGCGTCCGGCGCTGCCCGCCTCGCGGCTGCGGCGTCGGGGGAGTGCGCTCGGCGGAGCCGGGGACAGAAGCGCGGGAGGCGAGGAGGGAAGAGGCAGGAGAGCGAGGAGCGGAGCAGGAGGAGCCGCCGGGAGTGCTTTCTCGCCGCCCCCCCACGCCGCGCTTCCCCCCCCCAAACCGGTTTAAAAAAATCCACCAATTGCACGACCGCGCACCCCTAAAAGGCGCCCGCCGCCACCTGGTCCGGGTGAACTCCGGGAGGCGGAGAGGGAGCGCGGGGTGGGCGCGGGTGATACTCCGGGAGGCGGCGGGAGGGGGCCCCTCTGCCCGCCGCGCGTACAAAAAGGCCCTGCCGCCCCCGATGTCGCGATCGGGGAGGCGCGGGGGCGGGGCGCGGTGCTGCGGGGCCCGGGCCCTGGCCCTGGCGGAGGGGGTGGTCCCCGCGTCGGGCCGGGAAGGCGAAGAGGAAGAGCCCTGGCGGGGTGGAGTGGGGTGGGGAGGAGATGCCGCCCTCCTAGGCGAAGTGTGGCCCGGCGACAAGGCGGCCGGCTCGCGGGTCGGGGTCGCGCGCGGGGGCTGCACCGAGGCAGCGGGACCAGCCGCGGCCGCAGTGGCCGGGGGGTGGCAGGAGATGGGCCTCGGGGCGCTGCCGACTCACCTAGAGAGACGCGAGCAAGACAGACGCGCAGGCGGGGAGCCAGGCCTCCGCGTCGCCGCCGCCAACGCGCGGGTGCAGGTGCGGGCAACCCGGGGCCCCTCCGCAGAGCCACCGCTGCTGGGGGCGGGGGCCGGGCCGGGGGTGGCGCGCCGCGGGGGGCGTGCCCACGAGGGCGCCCGGAGCGTCGGCGCCTGTCCCGGTGCTGCTCCGGGCCTGGGGGCTGGACCGGGGAGGCGGTTCCTGGGCGCGCGGCTTCCGCCTCCCGCGGCGACCTAGACGCCTCGACACCCGAACCCAGCGGAGAGCCCGGCTTGATCGGCCTGCTCCTCACCTCCTGCAGGCGCCGGGAGGAAGGGTCCCCGCTGCTCCGAGTTCGCCGGGCGCGGTGGAAGGCCCCGCCCGCCCCGCCCGTCCCCTGGTCGCCGCGCCGCGTCGAGCTCCCGAAGGAGGGAGCGGTCTCTGCCCCAGTCTTTGTTTAGATAACCCGGGAGCCCGGAGGAGACAGCACCCCCCTCCCCAGCCCCCGTCGCTGGCTGGGAACCGCTGGGGGACAGTCTTGGGGGGTCTGGAAGAGCCAGGTGCTCAGCGGGGCTTTGGGTCGTCGTCCCCTGTTTGCAGAGCCTGAGGGTTTCCTTAGGGAAACTCATGCGGGACTAACTCCAGGCGCAGGTGTTTGGGGCCCTCAGGCTCCTCCTCCCCACCCCCAGAGCTTCCTCCCCACCCCCCTAACAGAATGTGGCCAAGTCCCTGCTGTCCACCATTCACCCTCCATCATCTGAGCCAGTAGGAACCTGGGGACCCCTTTGGTCCTCACTCTCCCTCTGGTCAGGCCGTGACCTTGCTCTCACCTGTTACCCCAAGAGAGGGAGCACCAGTGTCCCCTGATGGAGTCCTACTGTAGGGAGAATGGGAATGGGATGACCTGAGAAACTTTACTTGGGAGAGACAGTTCAAGTGGAGGGCTCCTGGAGACCAGGGTTCTACTCAGGTTCTGCTGCTGATTTTGGGCGCGGCTCTGCCCCTGCTGATTCCAGCCTTTCTGGGGCACAGTGACTGTGTGGGACCAGGTCATCTGGGCAGTCTGGGATGTTTCAAGCTGAAAGGTCAATGTGATTCTTCAAGGTCTCTCCCCCTTCACTGGATCTTTATCTGGACTGGTTTGTAGTCCCAGGTTTCCCTCAACTCTAGGCTTCGGAGGAAGCTACTATGATCTTGAGTTAACCCACTCACCAATGTTTAGGAAGCTGGTAAGACTTGGTGGCCCCAGATGGAGTGCATATTCCTGCTTGGGTGCAGTATATAGACTGCAAGCTTGGGTTCTCCTTACAACTCTGGGGCTCACCTTGGGGAAATCCTTGCCTCTCAGTTTCCTCCTTTGCAAAGGGGATGCTGAGGGGAGGTGGTGACAGAGTAAACCTCTACATCCAAAACACCCAGGAAGCTGGGTCTATAGATACAAGTCTGGAGCTGGTCCTTAAGAGCACAGGCTGGTTCTACGATTTCCTGGCTGTGTGACTTATCCTTTCCGAGGCTTCATGTCCTACTCTGTGAAACTGGGATGATGCTGACCTCAGAGGGTGCCTAAGAATTCAGTGATGGCATAGAATGCTTTAGTATAGTGCCAGAAACACGGTTGAAACGCTCAGTAAATAGTCCCTATGATTACTGATGATAAAACTGTAATTATTGTATTAGAGATTCTTTCAGGCTTTTCTGAATTCTACCCTTTCCAATAATTTCAGAGCTAGTCACTGAACAAAACTGATTGCTGATGTTCCAGTAACATAATTCACGAAGCCTAGCCTGTTCTAAATTCCCTGGAGGATAACAGGCCCTGGGAGGATGTAAAAGGCTGCCTGATAACAGCTTTGACAGTGTGACTCAACTGTCTCTGTGCAGAATGGCATCTGCCAGGGACTTGAAGTAATGTGGACAACCCACCTGGCTCAGAATGCATGAACCCCAAGTGGGCATTCAAGGGGTCAGGTCCTAGAGGTCCAAGAGGATATGAAGTCCTAAGAAAATGTAGTAACTCAATAGATGATGAAGCAATGTGATTGTAATAGGCCGCCGGGGCCTATTGCATCAGGGAAAGGTGCTTCGGGTATAGGCAGGGAGGGGGGCTCTGAGCCCTTCTGGAGGAGTCAGTCACACTGGGCAGAGGAGTCTCAGCTGAGTCAGTAGATGGACAAGGTCTCCATTCCTTTTTCTCCAGGGCTCTTCGTGGCATGATGTTGGAAGCAGACTGGGTGGCAGGGTTATATATATATATATTTTTTTTTTTTTAATTTTTATTTACTTATTGACTGTGCTGGGTCTCCACTGCTGCACATGGGTTTTCTCTAGTTTTGGCGAGTGGGACCTACTCTGTCATTGCGGTGTGCGGGCTTCTTACTGCGGTGGCTTCTCTTGTTGCAAAGCACAGGCTCTGGAGAGTGGGCTCAGCAGTTCTGGCACCTGGGCTTTGCTGCTCCACAGCATGTGGGATTGTCCCAGACCAGGGATGGAACCCGTGTCCCCTGCACGGCAAGGCAGATTCTTAACCACTGGATCACCAGGAAAGCCCCTGGCAGGGTTTTTAACAGAGGAAAGCAGGGCATGGCAGATGGCCAGGGTGTTGGCTGGGACAGGGGGCTTCTAAGACATGTCCCTCAAGCCTCAGTCCTCATTACAAGAAAAAGGCTGCAAAAGTTGCTGCCCTCTCGGGACTTCCCTTTTTCCCATGTGTAAACCAGGGAAGAGCCTGCCTGTACCTCAGCTACAGACAAGATCCGGCCTATCTGAAAATCTCTCTGGGCCTTCATTTCCCGATCTGGAAACTCAGGCTAAGATATCAGTCTGGGTGGTTGCAGGAACTAGAAACCTACTCTGTCTGGTTTAAGCAAAACAGAGCTATGTTAGAAGGATGGAGAGCAGCCCTGGGGATCTCAGGATGCAGGCCCAATCCTGAAGCATCGGTGCCGTCCTCCCACAAATGCTACCGCAGCACCATCTCTGAGCAGGGGTGTGGGATACTAGCATCAGGACCATGGCCGCCTCTAAAGCCAGAGGTGCTGTGGCTGCTTTGTCACCAGGGTGAATTGTCTGTATGGTCTTGGCTTGCTCATGTTACCAGATTCTAATTCACAGACAAGAATGGGATGACTGACTGGAGGTGCCTGGACCACGTACTCAGTCAAAGCTGCAAGGGAGGCTGGGAAAAGGTATTTTCAGTTCCTCTAGTGGGAGGTGGACCCTGCCTCATAGGAAGGGCATGTCAGATGCTGGTGGCCAAGAGGGTGACCAGTGCCCACTTCAGATAATGATGGACTCATTGTGAAACTGCTGTGAGATGACACACACGGGCACTCAGCTCCGAGCCCAGCATAGAGGGAACACATTATCCTAGGTCGTTGAGAGTCATATCACACTGCCAATCTACAGTGTCAAACAAGGCTGCTCCTACATCCTTCAGTCTTTGATTTTTCAGCAGGTGAAAGACACAAGGACCTTGAGGACAGTATGGCTCGCTGCCCTTCCAGATGCAGAGGCAGCTCTGGCCCCACTGCCAGGAGGACAGGTGACTGTGTTTTTCCACTGTGGTGATGAATTGGGCTGAGTCACATCCCTCTCCAGTCCCCTCGTGACCATGACTGGGAGCAAGTGAAAAGAACCAGCAGGTGGAGTCAGGGGTGCAGAGGAGCCTGGGCCCATGGAAGCTTCCTCTCTTAGCAAGGGGAGGGGGAGCAGAAATGGTCCCCCCCATACACACAACTAACCTTCTCCACTCACTCATTATGAGTCAGATGGCCTCAGGGAGAGAAAAGAGGATCCTTTCTCTTCTTTTACAGGCTTGGCTGAGTGCCTCTTTGGTGCCAAGATCTGTGCTGAGTGTACCAGAGAAACCAGAGCGGACCAGGCACTGACCTTGCCTTTCAGGTTTGTGCACCAATGGAGGAGACCAGCTCAGAGCCCCATGATCTGGGTTCTGAGCAGACTCTGCTGACATGTGCAGTTGAGGTTCCTGTGAGGTCCAGTGGGGGTCTGGAGGGGTCAGCAAGGGCTTCATGGAGGAAGAGGCATCTGAGCCTGCAGAGAGGCAGAAGGTCAGAGGATAGAGATAGAAGAGGGAGTGATTGGGAGAGATCCTCCCTGAATCCATCCATCCACCTATCCATCCACCCTACACTGGGTCAGCCAGGCCCCGTGATAAGCTTAGGGAGGCACAGAGCTGAGCGTGCTGCAGCCTTGCCCTCTATCAGGAGCTCCTGGATTGACGTGGAAAAAGCTGGGTGTGCATGAACAGAAGATAAGGAAGCTGGAATGAGCAAGTGGACAGCAGCGGGTGCCTGCTCTCAGGCACTCTGGAATTTCACCAGCCACCAGATTATCTGCTCCTTGCTCCTGGGCCACGCTGGACCACTCACTGGCTATGTCGCCACCTCCTTTCTCCCATAACATGTAAAGACCACCACCCACCCCCCCGCCGGCAGGGTCCACCCTTTGCTCTCCAGGAAACTCCAGACACCCTACCCTGTCCTCCCCCATCCCAGAGGAGAGCAGAGCACCCCCCAGTTTCCTTTGAGAGTGCTCTCCATCTCCCCTGGAAGCTTTTCCAGACACATGCAGCCCCAGTATATGCCGAGTCCAGGAAAGGGATGATCTGATAATATATCTTTAAAATTCCAAAAGTCATCTATGCTCAAAGCAGAACACTCAGTGCAGAGGAAAAAAATTAGAATCACTCATAATTCCATTGCCTAAAGATAACCAGCGTTCACATGTTAACACTGGGGAGGGGTGGGGAGGGGTACGTCCTTTAGCACTTTGTGTTTTTTCCCCAAGGAATCATACTGCATATATTTTTGCCACTCTGTTTTTTTTCACTTGCCAGTATATCATGAACATTGACCCTGAGAAAATTACTCTTCTGCAATGCAATTATAACAGCTACACTGTCTTTATTGTGTGAAGTGAAGTGAAATTTGCTCAGTCGTGTCTGACTCTTTGCGACCCCATGGGCTATACAGTCCATGGAATTCTCCAGTCCAGAATACTGGAGTGGGCAGCCTTTCCCTTCTCCAGGGGATCTTCCCAACCCAGGGATCAAACCCAGGTCTCCTGCATTGCATATGGATTCTTCACCACCTGAGCCACAAGGGAAGCCCATTATTGTGTGGGTGCTGCATATTTTCTGTATTAGTCCCATAGTGCTGGGCATGTAGGAATGTTTTCAATTTTTGTTAGAAACACTGTTGTTAGTAACTTATGCCGAGATGCTACTTTGCTCACATCTCTTGGATGACCTCCTAAGGCCACTCTGCAGCCTCCTTTTGCCTGGCTGCTTGACCTCTGCCCTCTCTGACCTCTGCCAAGGTCAGCCCATCTATATCCTTGACAGGAGACCTGTATTGTGGTGCCCCGATTGGCTTTGTACCTATCCAGGTTCATGCGGGGATCCTGGCGGGGGGGGGGGGGGGAATGAGTGAT